GGTATCGGTGAGTACCGAAATATATATATATATATATATACTTGCTTCAAAATAAAACAAAATAGATTTGGTTGGAGCAGATTTATAAGACTATTAGTGCAAATGTAATGTGTTTATGACACTATTCTGTTACTTTTAAATAAAGTTAACAAAACAGCAACAATTACCTTTATCTAAAATATTAAACTGTTATAGATATGGTGCAATATTATATTAATCGTTTTTATTATGTTTTTAATCTAATATTGAAAATCTTTTTTATTATTTATATAAAATCTTTCATTTATGAATTTACATTAACATTTAAATAAAAAAACAAATGTTAGAAGCAAAATTCAGTTTGCCATAAAAAAGGCCTTTGTTTTATGCAATGTTTGGCAGAAAACCTGAAGATCCACAAAAGTCTTTGGTTATTAAAGTTTCAAAGGTCTACTAATGTCATAAAAGGGAAGGTGATAAAATGAGGAAAAGGGAATGTGTTCTTTACTCTAAATCTGAAGAGCAGCCTAGAGTGATTGCCATGGCTCCCTCCATAGATACTGTGGGGTTGATTTACTAATGGCAAATTGACTGTTCCCTTTGGAAAGGGATTTTTTCCCTTAGCTTAGTGAATCTGGTGAAAATTCGCTTTGAAAAGCATGCCCAATCACCTGCAAGGAAAGTAAATTGAAAATGTTTTTCTTGCACATGGTTGAATGATGGTCATTGATGATGAAGTCAGCAGAGCTTCACCACATTCACCAATCTAGGAGAAAATTCCTTTGCAAAATAAATAGACAATTTGCCTTTAATAAATCGAGTGAGCATTGTCACCCTGGGACAGAAAGTGAGTTATTGGAAGGACCAACAGGTGAAAAAAAGCCTAAAAATTAAAAAAATATTGAAGCCACCACATCTAATTATTGCTAAGCTAAAATATATATCATTTTTGGTCTTAGGTTTTGACATACCTTGATACTTGCTGGTACTATACAGGTCGTCTAACTACATCGTATAATAAATAAATTGATACATGTTTTGATTATCATTTTAGGGATCTGACATGCCAGATAATTTGGTCTATGAACTGTGCCGCAAGGTAGTAATAGAGGCCACATCAAATTATGCAGCCAGTATTAGAGGAAAATGTACAAGTGCATGTCCAACAGCCAATGCATCATTAATTGGACCTCCTGGCCCACCAGGGGCACTGGGTAAAGCTGGAAAGAAGGTGAGAACCCATGATATGCATCATAAAGGTACTGTATATTCTGAATGTTTATGATTTCCACTTTATTTGGCACAAAGTAACAAACTTCTAATTAATTCTATTTGTGGACCTGTGTTGTAGGAAGTTCATATAGAAAAGCTTTATTCTATATACAGTATAAAAGTAAACAATAACAACAGCACATTTAAACACAGTATGAAAATAAACAATTACATTTTCCTATTAACCCCTTAAGGATGGAGGCAATTGTCCAAGTTCTGAACGTAAACAAAACATAAAATTTGAGCTATATGTCTGTTCAACTCTTTCAAGTGCACTAACACTTATTATATATTGTTTTTCGAGAATAAATAGGGATTTTGTTTACATTAAAATATTTATAAATGAACTGTAATTATATATGAATAAAATCTAACCAATTATGATAAATTAGGAAATTCCCCTTTTTTCGAAACATGCACATGCATTTTATTGGGAATATCATAAAACTGATACGTTTTACTGCAATAAAACACCCATAATTGTATTCTACAATGTCCCATGAGTACATCAATACCCCCATGTACAGGTTTATGGGAGTTACAATGCCAAATATGGGGGTGCTCATTTAAATCATCATACATGGAATTTTGGCACATTGCATTTCCGGGCCTAGGTCGCCTTTGAGACAGTATGGCAGCCTAGGAAAGAAAATGTTTCCATAATATACCATTTTAGACAACCCAAGGTATTCTAAATGGGATATTTTTAGTTGTTTTGTGTACCCACTTTATCACAAATGCTGGCCCTCTCTTAGAAGCTTATACTTTCATCTGTGCTTTTCACACACATAAATTCAATTTTCACAGAACATTTTATATGTCTTACTGCAATTAAGCCCTGGTATTTGTAATTAGCAATGTCTAACAAATATAACAGTACCCCCATGTACTGGTTATACAGTTTTTTTGGAAAGTTACAGGGCCAAATATATTGCATACCCATTTCAAAACTTGGAAATTTGAAACATTGATTTACTGGGTCTAGGTCGCCTTTAAGACAGTATGGCAGCCTAGCCTAACTTTTCAGATAGGTATAAAAAAGCAACGTCAGGACAAGCCGAATCAAAAACCAGTTTAGACAAAATACTGTGATCAGAAACTAGGATGGTTATTCACAAAGCTGCCGACCCATAACCGACCCAAAGTGAAGTGAGCCGAACGCTTTTTGGCTATTCACTTCAGGCTTGTACAGCTGATTTCAGCCGTACATCGGGTTGCTTCGGCTGGGTTCAGGTCGGCCGAACATGCTCAGCATGTTCGGCCGACCCGAAGTGCAGAAGGAGTTTGACTCAGCTAATCCAACATCTGGATAATCACCGCCGGTAGAGATAGCACCTATGGCTCTGCTGAGCTCTTATTGTAATGAAAGTTCAGCGTCCCCTGGTTACTTAGTAACCAGGGGACGCTGAACTGTCATGAGAGCTCAGCGGGGCCAGCCTTGATATCACTACCAGCTGCACTGAGCTCTCATTGTAATGACAGTCCAGTGTCTGCGATCAGCGCTGAATGGGTTTTTTTTTTTTAATCAAATATTTCAAAATGGGTAAAACCAACAAAAGGGTAAAATTATAATTTTAAAAATGCACAAATCACACCTGAATATGCCGAACTGTACTACTGTACTGATCAAAATGATCACAGATATAGAACAAATTGTGCACACAAAGACAATATATCACCCAATTTCTGGTAAAATATAAAAGGTGAGGTGGTGCAGAGTAAATAAATACCAAACATGTCAATCCTTAAAATTGCATGTCCCCTTGAAAAGGCAGCAAACTTTGGCACCCCAAATTGTTTACTTTAAACAGCCTTTACAGGTCATTAGTTTAGAATTAGCCAGGGATAATGCTTATAGAATTTTTGCTCTCACTCCAGCATGCACGGCAATACCCAACATGTGTGGCACAATCACTTTTTTCATAAACAGGCACACCTGGCATGTGTGTTTATGTTGTTATGTGCATGTACATAGGAGTGGTAGGCTTTACATTTTTTTTATTTAACTTAATTTTTTTAACTTTTTTTATTTTTTGGCACTTAACTTTATTGTTATCACATGCAGTCAGGCACATTTATGCCACTGCTCTAAGGGGTCTATTCACGAAGCAGCCGAAGGATCTAGCCGTAGCTTCGGCTGATGTTTCGGCCCCACGACCCCTTCGTTTCTACTGCTGCTGTATGGGCTATTCCCTATAGCCCGTACAGCTCCCAAAGTTGGCCAAACGGCTCAGTCGATATGCCTCGGCTCAGACTGAGCCGCACTGAAAGCCGAAGCTGGCCGAATGGACCAGGGACACTGATCTCCAGACAGCAAACTCTGCCGGGCGCTCCGGGAGAGAAACACTTTTTCCAAGAAAGGTTCACTCTGCTCGATCGAGCAGAGTAAAACTTTCCCTGCTTTTTTTTATTTTTTATTCTGACATAGATTCCCTTTGGCTATTTCATTTTGCAATAGCCAATAGCAAACCAGCTATTGCACCCGCCCACTGCTGCTGTCAATAAGCAGAGGGGGACCTGCAGTTCTCCATCAGGTCCCC